ACATAAAAAACATGAGCGCAAACAGCTGTTATTTTTAAGTTTATAGTTCTGTCCAATTGCCATATTTGTTTTAATCATAATTTATTATTTCTGAATCGTTTTTGTATCCACATTTTATGTAGTTTGTAGGAAAAATGTAATCAAATGATGTAGGACTTGCAAAGATAAAAAGATTTTTTTTAAATTAAAGAATATGAATATTTATTAAGAAACAAATTAAGTAATAAGAAGATAAAAGTCTATAACGTTTTCAAGATAATAATTCTAATTTTTGACTAGTAGGTCGTAAGTAAATGTACATAATTTTTTTGCTAGTAAGAGATTAGGTTAGGGCGGGGACGAGAGCCGAGAGCAGAGAGAGCGACAGTCGCCGCCGCCGTGGCGACGCCGCGCCATCATATGCAAGCAAATCGCATATTAATTCCGAATTGCTGGCTCAAACAAAAAATTTCACTGTAATAATCATACATATTTTTTGGAATAATATTTCTGTATAACAAATCATAAAATGTTGACTAGTATTAGGCTATATTTTAAAACAATTCATTATATTGATATATTGGTAATTTTAGTCAAAAAGTATGCTAATTTCTTTACTTTTTGCTTAGCTCCAAACAAGAACTAATCACATAGCAATAGCTAGGATGAGGTCTTATTAAAACTATAATATATGGAGCTCAATGTTAATATATTTTATAAGGATAAACACCACTTCCCTTGATTAGTACAAAATGAAATTAAATGTATGGTTAGTTTTTACATAGATAAAATTTATTTTAAAAGTAGAGAACATATGAAGGAGTACACACTGAATTGAGATAAAATATTTAGTACTGACTTTAAAAACTTTGTAAGCCACTTTTAGTATCCACAATACAAACATATTGCATTGATTAATAACATATTTATTTGGCAGACCAAAAGAGATTTTCCAACAGTGCATAGGTCATTAAACCTTATTATAATTATATAAGTGAATTTGGAATAAAGCTGTAAGAAAATCTGCAATTAGACTAGCCGCTACACCTTATATACGGAAACATTAGGACTAAATGATTTATATGTGATGTTCCGGCATACAAGTTGAGCCTCCCAGCCGCCCCGAGCCAGACACCCAAATATAAATTAACTTTAAGTATAGTAATAGTTCATAGGTAATAATTTTAATATATTTTGTACAATAAAATACAATTAAGTACAACTTGTAGCAAAGATATTAAAGAGAGTAATATTTATGTGGAGTGTTAAAGCTGCAATAACGTGTGTGTACGCACAAGGCATATTTACACAGCACACACGCATGGCAACCACACACCGTGTGCCGCACACTATAGTACAGAATTAACTTTACTTAATAGAATATAAAGACACGCCCAAGCTGACAACACCACCGCCCCTTTACATATTTCAATGCATGATTAGCCAATGAACACGCCGCACCACCTGCAGACTGCTATTTATTACACATTGATCATCGCTTAATATCACAGCTAATTATGCTTTGAAAATTAAAGACATGTCTAATTTTCACTAATGTAGATAACAATGTAGAGTATAAGTAGATAATCTGAATAAATTTACATTACAATATCATGTCTTTTCATATGAAAACTTTAAAATTACATCACCAAAATGAAAGAGTGCAGCGCATTATAAATAAATGTGCATATCTTATTATTTAATTGACTAAAAAAATTTGTTGCCTGCAGATCTGACATAATTTAAATATCGAGAGGTAATATCTTAAGAGAAATTTTAATTTCAACTATTGAAAAAAAGTTAAATCCAAATTTTTTAAATATTTAGTATCTATTATGACAATTCCCTTCAAACCCACCTAGAAATTTATGTGAAATATATTTATCCAAAAGCTGAGTCAACTTCACACATATTTCACCATCACTAGAATAGTGGATCAAAAAGTAAGGATTGAAGAGAAAGTGGAGCTAGCACTTCACGAATGTGCATTGCTGTTCACATGCGGCTTCTTGTCCTGCGTGTCGGGGGTACGCTGGCCGTCGCGCCGTGGCGGCATGCGCTCGTTGATGGCGTCCAGCCCCTTAGCTTCAGCAAATGAGGTTATCTTGTGGTTAGGAGAGAAGCCCTGCAGGGCGTTTTTAAGAGATGTTTTACCACCAGACAAAGCACCCAATGGCAGGGCACCAGTTGGAGTCAAACCCTTGAGCTGAAGAACAGATTCACTTTCCTCACGGAGAACAGAGAACACATGAGCCATTTTTCCTATAGCACGGATCTTGTTGCGTATAACTTCTTTTCTGAGATTAGCTTCCTCCAATGCATCATCACCTTCAGACATTAGTTCATCATCAGAACAGATATTTAGTACATTGACCAGCATTTCTGTCACCTTCTCACCCACAAATGGAAGAGACCAAGTGAACACATCCATGAAGTTGGGAAGCCAATAAGGGTGAGGTGAGCAATTGAACTGTCTGATGTTCATCACATTGTCCTCATACTTCAACACAGCCGCTTTATTGTTGTAAACATCCAAATAGTTAGGAGCGGAGAATATGGTAATCAGACTTGGGAAGCCAGTGGTTTGGCTCTTACGGTACATCCTATAGCCTGCATCTTGTGCTTCATGAGCCCGTATGATGGACAGTAAATTGTTTCTTTGTAGAAAGTCACAACAGGCTGCATAACTGTAGAAATAAGAACAACCTCTAACAGAGTTGTGCGAGAAATGCTCAGCATTATTTTCATTTCCAAAGTCCTCAAGGGGATCAGACCAAAGTAGGTCACACATGGCTCCAAATGCAGGAGGTTCTTTGAATCTATCTAGTTTACGAATGTCATCTAAGCTGTTTATCTCAGGAGAGAGACCACCATGTACACATAAGAACTGCTGGTTCATAAGAGCAGCAAGGGGTAAGCAGTCGAATGCTTCCATACAGGCATCATACACTTTCTCAGAATACTTGATCTTGCATTCCTGCTTGAAAGTGAAGTACTCTGTCAAGTGCCGACATTCGTGATTACCGCGTAATAGAAATAACGTCTTCGGGTAACACAACTTCAACGCCCAAAGGTAAAGAACACATTCTATACTAAAATAACCTCGGTCGACATAATCACCTAAGAATAAATACTTGGTGCACGAGGGAGAGCCTCCCACCTCGAACAGTTTCATCAAATCGTAGAACTGGCCATGGACGTCTCCGCACACGGTCACCGGTGAATCGATCTCGATCATAGTTTTTTCTGATCGTAATAAGGTGGCACCATCTTGAATGATGCGTAAAGCTGCATTTTCCTCGATTCTACCCTCTAAGATAAAATGCTGCTTGAGAACATCTGGTAAGGGCTTTCCAGTTTTTTCATCAAATACTTCCGATACAGTGAGCTTGTGACTAGGAGGGAAAGCGACACTTTGGATCATACGCTGCGTAGTCGACGCTTTATCATTGCTCCCGGACATATTTGTCACATAAAAAACACTAGGTCTAATCCATACACGCCACTATTTTCAAAATGGCAGAATAGATATATTACTAAAACAGAATCCCGATTTCACGACAGAGAAACTACTGCGCACTGGAAAACAATGCGCAAACATCTGGCGAGTGGTCAATAAAATAAACAGGGATATCGAGCGCGTTTTATTACTTTTGAACGTTCCATTTAAATAGTAACACTGGCGATATCGTGTATCCTTGCCAGTTTATTTTGAAACTTATTACCAATTCAATAGCTTCTATGATTATTGAAGAGTTATTGATTCACACAGAAGTGTCCATTAAAAGAAAAAGAGGCTTATTAATTTAATTATCGTTTTGTTACAGGTACTTATGTTAAATTTTATTCGGGGGCTTATAGTTTAACACAAGGCTGCACGTACAGCGAATATACGATTAGTGGCTATTTTGCTATAAAATTGAATCCTTTCAAAATTTAGTATAATTTCCCCACAGATAAATCATGTCTATTATTTTATATTTTTTTTCCGTGTTCCTCGTTTCAACCTTTTGGTAATATTGTAGTGTTACCATCTAAGTACTATAAAAATATTTTGCCTAAATGATGCTATAAGTAACTAATTAAGGCTGCCTAGACGTGCAGCTGGATATTAGCACAGTTAGCTTATGACTATAAGTATTTATACTTATAGTGTTTAAGTTTGTTAGCAATTTCTTCATAAAAATTGTAACAGTATTCACAAATTGACATCACAGCTTCCTTTCAACAGCAGCACCGTGTTGCCGCATCTTGCCTGAAGGTGTCATTTAGAATTCCACCCTGACCTTTTTTCTTTTTATCTCAACAGAGGACGTCTCAACAAGCTGTGTGAAAAGAATGAAGAACATAAAAGAAAATACCATCCTCGATATAAAATAAAAAAGATGATCACTTAAGTTCGAATTTCTAACTTGAGTATGGTAATTTTATTTGTAAAAACCTAAAAACTTTAATAGCAAACACTATTAAACGTTAGACAGTTGTCGTGCGTTATCGAAACGATGGATATTTTTATCTCTAGCTACTATTTTTAGCAGTAGGGTAATAATTGCATTGTGCTAGGTATGTTTATAAACGTAAATTTAAACTGTTACTATTCGATTCATATCGTGCGAGTTTACTTTTGTTATCGCACGTTACGATGGTATATTTTTAAAGCCAATGACTGCTGTTTAATTGAAATTAATAGTCACATGCTTCATAAATACATTTCATTGGTCGTAGGTTATTTGTGGGCCGAGCAGTACAGTAATGTGTTTTGCTTCAAATAAAGAAGTAGGTCCATGTAATGGTTAATTTTGTATACATTACATGTGGTGACTAAGGAATAATTTATTTTACTTAAAAATAGATGAGATTTCATAAGGTTAATACATAATCTAATATTAAAGAAAGTTAGAATTGGCATAAAATATTTTTTATTAATTAAAAAAATAACATTCATGAACATCGCACAAATTGTGTTTGTTTAATCTTATGACTATTATATTAATTTAACTAAATTAAAATAAAAAATGATAAACATTACAATAAAAGTGTATTTTCTAGAAACATTTGCATACAACAGTTTTGTTTTAAGTTACTTTGACTCTCGGCGCTGCTTAGAATGATTGAGACGAGTGCAGACGTCAGTTGACGGTCACCGTTGACTCGACAGTTTTGTACTTCGGTTTGCTGTGAGTGAATGGTAGATATCTGTACTTGATCATGTGCTGGAAAATAAAATGTACACATTACTAAAACCTTGTATGTATATGTCACCTGTAAATTGTGTACTCGGCCCGTTTAGTTTATCATGTCAGCAATTTGCAGAGTCTACCCTCGGTATATTTTAATTTATTAAAAGCTTACTTCTTTAGTCAGCATTTGCAATTTTTCATCACTAGTTACCTAAATTATTTATACCAAATATAATATAGCTTTAAGCTTCACTCATTTCCTTTAGTTACAATAAATAGTAGTGTTTATCGCATATTTTATCAGCTTTGGACCAAATGACACGATTTTTTCGTCATGGATAATAAAACTTTTATATTTATGTTGTGTCATTGTGACGGAAACTTCTAATGATAACAATTATTATCTTTGTCTTAGTTATGCTAAACATTATATGTAAAAATAATATTAATTTATTTGTAAATAACTAATTACACTTTTTTGCAATATTTATCACAGAAAATTTATTTAAAATATAATAAATTGTTGTAATATCCAGAACATTACAGAGTAATTATGGAATCATCTAAACTGTCAAGACTACTAACATAGACACTAATCTTTTTTAGGCATACAAAATAGAAAAATGTGTTATTGATGTTCCATTATTAGACACAAGTAAATTTTAAATTGAATTTTATAAAATATAGAACTATTGGTAACAACCACTGACATAATAATAACCAATTAAAAAATAATTAACCACCTAACATACCGATAGAAAGCTGACTAATTTATGTCAAGGTAATTAATATTAATAAGAAATTGGCTTACCTTAATTTGTCTCTTCATAGTAATACAAAATAAGGTTATAAAATACATAACTAGTATAGGCCAGAATACTGGTATATTAAAGGCATCAATGAATGTACAGATGAAGCCAATAATTGTGCTCTTGGTGACAGAAAGCCAAAATTTAAATTCTGGCAGTCTCCGTATGAATGGTCTGAATTCCTCCGTGGCACGTGTCGGGAGGGCAGGGCCATTATCATCATCAGCTGAAAATTATTTAACATACCCTTATTACACATTCTCATAGTAATTCACGATATAATACTTAGATCAACTTGTTGGTGGGTCTAATAGGCAATTCCATATTTTAACATACATATTTCTTAAATACTTTATAACCTTAAACACACACTACACATTACTTGTCAATCACATAGAAAGAAATAGAATAGATAAAAAATAAAGTAGACAAATAAAATTACTCTAGTTGTTTTAAGAGGATTAAATAAGCATTGTTTAATTTTAGTAGTTAGTGTACCATAAAACTGTACTTACCATCAAAATCCATAGCTGGATCTATTTTTGGAGTAAGGAATGCAATAAATAAATTTAAGTGGTAAATTCCTAGGGCATAAGTCACAATGTACCACCCCTGAAAAAAAAAGGAAAATTGTATTTGTATTACTAGTTCAGGAGACAGAGTCACAATAAATTTTGTGAAAATGTTTTATTTTTCTCCAATAAAGAGTTTTTTTTATTATTTCAATTGAAAGTATAAACTTTCACTTTAACTTAAAATTTTTACATATAAAGAGAATTGGAATTGCTGCTTTTGGATAAGTTCTACAATTTGCTTAAAATTAATAATTGCTTGTTCTCACCTGTTTTGTGACTACTCGTATAATAAAGGCAACTAGAAGAAGTATACATCCTATCCATCTTCCTTTGGTGTGAGGTGTCCACTTGTCTAGGGTTCCTTGATAGATCTAAAAACATAAACATATTAACAAATTAGTAAAATACAAAACATTGAAAAACCTTAGCAACATTTACAATATTTTTGCTAGACCATGGATACAATTTAAATCTCCTTGTATTATCAGAAATATATAAACTACAAAACATGTTAGTGTGAAAGTTAAATGAGCAACAACACTAAAAGTTCTACAATACTTGCATAAAATGCCAAGGATTAGGTGTTTACTTCTTATTTTGAATGTGAATTTTGTGAATTTTGTGAAATGCTGATATAAATGTTGACTTATTTGCTCATATTAATTTCAAGGATTTATATATTTACTTTTCTTTTAGCAGATAGTATTAAAACCGCAATAGACAAATTATTCTGATAGCAGTGAAAAGTTTTCGAAACAATAGTAATGTACATATTAGAAATTCGAAAGCAGCCAATGCAGTTAAACATAATCTTGGTAAATTAAATTACCTGAGAAATACGCGTCCATGCTTGAGAAATAATTCCTCTTCTGGTTGTTTCTGAAGCTAAATCATTTCCGTCCATCATTATTGACAATTTTGTGAGGCACCACTTTCTTTTTGGTAAACAGAGCTTCTTCGTTTAACGCATTTATTAAACGTGGGAGAACAACTATCTAATCTATTTACAATACGGTTTGAAATAAAATTTGATTTATCCGATAATTAGCCTTCGACATATTACCATTACGATGACGGCGGCTGTCGCGGTAACCA